TGGCCATGGGGAGAGGGGCAATAAACATCACTCATGGTCACTGTGAGGTGCGGGGGAAGGGGGCCAAGCGGCTAGCCCACTGGCTGCCTGGCCACACATTGTCAGTATCATCGAGCAGTGCATGACCTGTGCGGATAGCCCTTCCCAGGGTACCATTCATCAAGTCCTCACTTTGGCCCCACACCCACACCCACAGCACAACATTTCACCTTCCACATAGGCGTTGACGTTGCCCAGGTGCATGATGGGGAGGGCGGCGCGCGCCGACAGCGCGGCGTGGGTGTGCATCAGGCCCACCATGCCCGCCGCCGGCTCGGCGTGCCCTGTCCACGATTTGGCCGCCTGGAGGAGGAGGGGGTTACCCTCCGCGCGGCCTTCCACCAGCGCGGCCGCGGCAGCGCCGATCTCAATGGGGTCGCCCAGCGGCGTCCCCGTGCCGTGCATCTGAAGGGCGGTGACCTCGGCCGCAGCGGCCAAAGCCCAGCGTAGCGCGCCGCGCATGACCTCCTGCTGCGCGGGGCCGTTGGGAGCGGTGAGCGTGGAGGAGCGGCCGTCCTGGTTCACCGCCGTGCCGCGGATGAGGGCCAAGGGTACGGCAACCAGGCGCCCGCTCACGCCCGTCGCCGCCTCGGGTACGGTGACCAGTGCCATGCCCGCAGCGTCAGAGCGCGCGTAGCCGTCGGCGTCAGGGCTCAGCGTCTTGCAGCGCCCGTCGGCCGCCAGCATGCCAGCCTTCTGCAGCATGGCCGTGGTGCTCGGGTGGATGAGCAGGTTGACGGCACCGTTGATCGCCGCGCTGTTCAAGCCCAGTCGCAGGCTGCTCGCCGCTTGGTGCAGGCTGTGTTGAATAGGGGGGGTGGAGGGGGTGGGAGGGGGGTGGGAAGGTTGAGCTGCGGGCAGGGCTGAGAGGGGCTTCGTATCCAAGTCGAATGCCTTGCCTTGATGGGATTTGTATGAATCCATAGACAACAGACACCCCCGCGGAACCCTGTGCAGTGGTCAGAAAACGCACCCTCGCTCACCTGACCAGGGACGATGAGCAGGCGGTGTCAATGGGGAAAGACGGCCCAGTGAAGCCGTAGTGGTAGGACAGCCGCCCCGCCGTTACCGACAGGCTGACAGTGCCGGTGGCAGAGTACGGAGTGAAGGCGGGAAGGTGGTTGGACACCAACATCCTGTACTCCGTGGAGGAGACACCCTGCAGCAAGACGGGGTTGAGAACGGGGGATTTTTGGGAGGCTGGTCTGGGAGGAATGGGACATAGGCCGCTATAATGGTGCAGGGGTTCATCACCAAGACACCCCCCCACTCACGATGAAAACGCCCGTGTCGGTGGGTGCCGACTGCCCGGCGAGGACTTGGGCGCTGAGCTCCAGAAGCAGGCGCTGCTGGGGGTCCATGGAGATGGCCTCGTTGGCATTGAACTTGAAGGCCGCAATGTCAAACAGATCAATGTCCTCCAGGAAGGAAGAGAACCTGGGGTGGGGGGAGATTTTTGGGGGGCGAGATGTGAGGGGAGAAGGGGAGGGAAATGTGACGGTGACCATGCACAGGAGATGTATCTGAGATCCACCACACCCATCACATGCATTGCCGGCAACTGCTCCTCAAAGCCTGCCACACGCTGCAGCATCTGGCTTTGCCAAACCCAGCACATCCGCTGCCCACCTTGCCGGCGCAGTGCCCAGGGTCTGCGCCTGCTCCTGGAGGTCCCAGCGCTCCAACGGCACAACCCCACTCCCGTCTGCCTCGGCCAGGCTCAGGTTCAGGATGTCCTGTGTGGTGGTGGCAGGGAGGTGAGGGGGAGTGCGGTGTAAGGTGAAGTGTGGCTTCTAAACCAAGTGCATTGCCAAGTGTAGTGGATGTGAGACCCACTACAGAACGAGGGTATAACACTGCAAATGAGGCTCCACACCCCTCCTGAAACACACACCTTGGGCAGGCGCGAGGCCAGGGAGACGAGGGGGAAGTCCTGGGAGGCCCGGACCGCGCCGACCTCGGCCAGGCTCAGCATGCTCAGCTCGTCCTCCAGCGTCCCCAGGAAGCTACCCTCCGGCTCCACCGTGTCGGCAATGAACCCGGCCAGGGCCTGCGCGGTGGGGTAGTCGAAGACCAGCGTCCCCGGCAGGCCGACGCCAAAGGCGGCCTGCAGGCTGTTGCGCAGCTCCACCGCCGCCAGCGAGTCCAGGCCGACAGACATGAGGGGCGCGTCCACGTCCACCTCGCCGCCGCCCAGCACCTCGCCGATGACCTCGGACACTGTGGAAAGCACGGAACCGCGGTCTAGCAGGGCGCTGGCACGCGAGGCGGGGCGCGGCGCGGCGCCCGGAGCGTCGCCGCCGGCGCGGGCCACCTCGCCTGCGATGTGGCCTGCCAGCGCGGTCACGGTGGGGTAGTCGAAGACCAGGGTGCCCGGCAACCCCAGACCGAACGCGGCCTGCAGGCTGTTGCGCAGCTCCACCGCGCCCAGCGAGTCCAGGCCGGCAGACATGAGGGGCGCGTCAGGCTCCACCTCGGCCCCCAGCACCTCGCCCACGACCTGCGCCACGCTCCCGCGGATGACCATGATGTCGACGGCAGGCGCGGCGCGGGGTGGCGCGGCAGACCCTCGGTGGGCCCTGCCGGCGCCGTGGGCGCCCTGGGCGCGCGGCACTTGGCCAGCGACGAAGCCCACCAGCGCAGATACCGTCGGGTAATCAAACACCAGGGTGCCCGGCAGCTGCATGCCCAGCGTGGACTGCAGCGTGTTCCGGAACTCCACAGCCGCCAGCGAGTCCAGCCCGGCCGCCATCAGCGGCGCGTCGGGCTCCAGGGTCTGGCCCAGCACGCCCGCCAGGGCCTCCTGGATGCCGGTCATGATGGCGGCCGTGCTGACCGCTGCTGCCACGGCGGGCGCCGCCGAGCTCGCCTGGCCGGCGCGGGACGCGGGCCGGCGAGCGGCTGCTCCTGCCGCCGCTGGCACGTCGGCCAGCAAGCGGGCGTAGATGGAGTGGGTGCCCGCTCCGCGCTGCGCCAGCGCCGCCAGGCGCGGCAGGTGGAAGGGCACGGCCACCAAGACGGCCGGTGTGGAGGCCAGGGCCCTGACCAGGGTGCGCAGCCCCTGTCCGGGGTCGACCATGCCCATGCCCATGCGCTCAACGCGCAGGGCGGTGGAGCGGTCCTGGGCTGCCATGCCGCTGCCGGCCCAGGCGCCCCACTGGATGCTGGTGGAGGGCAAACCCTGCGTCGGAAGATGGAGTTGGTGGGGGGGTTGGTGTGGGGCAGCGATGGAGCCGTGGTGCTTGAGAAAATGTGGATGTGGAAGCACAGCCTTGGCCAGGCGCAGCCGTCCTCCCCCAGCTAGGTCACTCTCTGATCAACAACCACCCACCCTCCCTCCTCACCTGGGCCTGCGCCAGCTCGGCAGCCGCATCCAGCACCGAGTTGGCTGCCGAGTAAGTGACCTGCCCTGGCGACCCCAGCAGCGCCGCCACGGAGGAGAAGAGGACCTGCTGGGAGGCGGGAAGGAAAGCGAGGCCGGCACGCAGCGCCTCCGCGCTGGACGTCTTGGCGCCAAACACGCGACGCAGCGCCGAGGGGGTCTGGTTGCCCACGATGGCGTCCGCCAGGAAGCCAGCTGCGTGCAGTACGGCCAGGGGCTCTGCGCCTTCCGCGGCCAGTAGGTGCACGGCGTCGGCCGCCACAGCCGCGTCGCCAGAGGTCACGACCAGGCTGGAGACGGCGGTGGCGTCGGTTGGTAGGCCTGCCAGCAGCGGCGCGGCGTCACTGCTGCTGCCCAGCCGCCCAGCCCGCCCAACCAGGGTGCAGGTGGTGGCGCCGCCCGCGCTCCCGGTGAGGATCGCCTCGGTCATGAGCCGGCCCAGGCTGCCCGTGCCTCCCGTGATGAGGAAGCGCGGGGCGGCAGATGCCAGAGAAACACGGGCCTTTGATTCCGCCAAGGGCGGCCCGGCGGCAAGGCCCGGTGTCTGCTGCGTGCGCCCCCTGAGGGCCAGGCCGTGCGCATCGACGCCGGCATCGACGGCCGCGCCCCCAAAAACAAGGACGTCGAGCGCGGTGGGGCGCTGGGCACGCTGCGCGTCGTCGCTGTCGATGGTCGTGTAGCGTGGCCCGGGGGCTTCCAGTGCCAGGGCCTTGAGCATGCCGCGCAGCAGCGCGGTCGTTGCATTGCCGGTGAAAGGCCCGGCGCCGGGGCGGGCACGCGACTCCAGAGCCACCGAGGGGGGGCCCTGCGAGGCTGCCGCCGCCTGCAGGCCTGCCAGAGCCATGATCGCGGCGTGCTGGGTGGAGACCCCCTGTGCCAGATCAAATGCGGAGGCAGTGGGGCGGGCAGAGGAGAGCCCCCCCGCCACCACGACGCTGGTCTCCCAGACGGTGTGGTACTCCAGCGCCGTGCTGGCAGCAGCTGCCTGCGGAGAACCACCGGAGGCGCGCCGCGCAGCGGCGCCCAGCTCCCTGGCCTCCAGGCCCTGGACGCCCGCCGACCTCCCCGCCGCGCTCTCCACCCAGTAGTCGTTGAGGGCGGAGGTCGTGGACTGGGAGACCGGCGCGCAGCCCGCGGCCAGGACGGGCGCGGGCACGACGCTGGGCGCCGCCGCCACGCGGTAGGCGGCGATGCCGGCGGGGATGCGCAGGGCGCTGGCGTCCAGCGCGCCCAGGTGGAAGGCGTTGTCCAGTGCGGCGGCGTCCAGCCCCGCGCCGCCCACCCGCCCATCCGGCCTGAGGCAGGTGATGGTGCCGACGGGCCCGCCCGAGCCCGCTGCCTCGACAGAGAGAGGGAGCAGGGCAGTGACGGTGCCAGATGGGGTTGCTGGTGCCGTTGAGACCCCGGCACCAATGTCCCCGAGGTAGATTGAAGCCAGCAGGCCGTAAGCATGGTCGCGCGGACGGGAGCCCGCGCGGCTGCTGCTCAGGCGCACACGCCCCGACCCAGCGTCCACCGAGCAGCAGAGCAGGTGCTGGTGCGCGCGGGCACCTTGTGCGCCGGCCTGCAGCAGCTCCAGGGCGGCGGGGATGGTCACCTGCAGCACGGCCTGAGCGCCGTCTCGCGCGCCGCCGGCAGCGGCTGCCGCAGCTGCGGCGGCGCACTCCAGGAAGGCGGCCGCGGGGAGGATGGGGCGGCCGCCGACGGCGTGGTCGCGCAGGGCGGCGAGCTTGGGTGCCGACAGGTCGGCGGCAAAGGTGACGGTGCCGGTGCGGGGGTCCAGGGCCAGCACCCCGCCCAGGAGCGCGTGCGGCTCGGCCAGGACCCAGAAGCGCCGGGCCTCGAAAGCTGGCGCAGGCGGCAGAACAGGTGCGAGGGCTGCGCCGGCTCCCGCCTGCAGCAGCACATGTGCGTTGGTGCCCTGGAAGGCAAAGGCCGAGGCCCCCGCGGTGACGGCGGCGGCCGCCGGCGCACGCATGGGCGCCGCGCCGGGCTGGCGCGGCATGGAGTAGACCCCGGGCTCGCTCACCACCGCCGCGACGTGCGCGTTGGGCGTGCGCAGGTGCAGCACCGGGAGCGCCAGCGCCTGCGTCATCGCCTGGTGCAGCTGGGCGACGCCCATGATGCCGGAGGCTGGCTCCGAGTGGCCCAGCTGGGACTTGGAGGCCAGCAGACGCAGCGGGGCACCGGCGCCGGCCCGCCCTGCGCCCAGCAGCTCCGACACGGCGCCCAGCTCGATGGGGTCGCCCAGCTGCGTCCCCGTGCCGTGCAGCTGCACGGTGGAGACGGCCGCCGGCAGCAGGCTCGCGGCCGCCAGCGCGGCTCGGATCACGTCCTGCTGGCTGGGGCCGTTGGGCGCGGTGAGGGAGCTGGCGCGGCCTCCCTGGTTGACGGCGCTGCCCACCAGGAAGGCGAGCACGGAGGCATCGATGGGAGCGCAACTGAGCAGCGCCACCGCCGCCGCCTGGAGGTGTGTGTGGTGTGGTTGTGGTGGTGGTGGGGGGGGGGGGTGAGGAAAGTAGGGCAGTGGATGAGCATGCATGGTTTCCATGGACATCGAGATGGAGCTCCCATGCTTGCTGTGCCACCCCTGACTCCGCCCAAACTCAAAGCAAATCGCCACATCCTTCCACGAGCGGCCCCGCCAAAAGCACAGTCCAAACCCGACACAATCCCACCTCTGAGCGGACGTAGCCATCCCCCGCGGCGTCTAGGGCCTTGCAACGCCCGTCCGGCGCCAGCATGCCCGCCTTGCGGAACATGGCGGAGGTGGCCGGGGCCAGCATCATGTTGATGCCGCCCGCCAGCGCGGCGTCGATGGCGCCCCCCGCGCCGCGCGTCAGCCCCTCCTGCGCGGCGTTGGCGGCCACGAGGGAGGAGGAGCAGGCGGTGTCCACCGCCACCGCAGGACCCTTGAGGCCGTGGTGGAAGGCGACGCGGCCGGGGCAGACGGACAGCACCGCGCCCTGCGCGGTGTAGGCCGAGATGGGAAGGCCGCCGGCCTGCGCCAGCTGGCCGTACTCGGTCCAGGAAATGCCCATGAAGACGCCGGTGCGGGGGAGGGGGGCGCCGTGAAGGCCCTGGGAACCCAGCAGGGCCTGGGTGGCCAAGGAGAGCACCAGGCGGTGCTGAGGGTCCATGATCGTGGCCTCCGCCACAGACATGCCGTATGCCGCGGCGTCAAACACCTCGATCTCGCTCATGAACGCACCAAACTGGTGGTTTGCACAGCGGTTGGGAGGGGTGAGGGATGGGCGGGATTGGGGGGACGACGACAGGCATCTGCCTCGGCCAGCGGAGTCTTGCGACCTCAAAAGCATTGCATCACCTCCCCAACCTCCAACACCACAATCCTGCACCCACCTGGGGTGAGAGCGTGTAGGGGTCTCCGCTGGCCAGCTCGGCCCTGTCGAGGTCCCAGCGCGACAGCGGCACCTTGTGAACCGCGTCCTGCAGCGCCACTATGGCCTGGGTCCCTGGACTGGCGTGCAGGATGTCGCCCTGCAGGCCCTGGCTGACCATCGCCACCAGCGCGATCGGTCTGGCCGCGGGCGAGGCAGCAGGCCGGGCGCGCAGCCCGCGCGATGGAGCCTCGCCGTCGCTGGCCTCCCCGTCGCTGTCGGAGGGGACGTCGCCGTCCTCATCAACCTCGGGCATGGGCGCCGCACCATCCCCTCCTGCGCCCTGCTTCTTCAGCAGCGCGGTGGACAGGTAGTCGCCGACGGCGCGCAGGGAGGGGTAGTCAAAGATGAGCGTGCCGGGCATGCTCATGCCCAGGCGCTGACTCAGCATGTTGGCAAATTCCACAGAGCCCAGAGAGTCCAGCCCGGCGGCCATGAGGGGCTCGTCCTCCCCGACCCCGGGGCCGACCACCTCTGCGGCGGCCGCGGCCACGGTCGCCGCGACCTGGGCGCGCAGCGCGGCAGCGTCGGGCGCGGCCGTGCCGGCGCCACCCTTGTTGGCGTCCACGCCGCGCTTCCTGCGCCCACCTGCAGCGGCGCCGATGGGGGCGACCAGGGCAGGTGGTGCCGACGCCTCGAACTCGGCATACATGGTTGGCACGGGCCCCCTTGCCTGCTCGGGCCCCGTCCAGGGCGCCAGGTAGGTGTCCCAGCTGAAGGCATTAACCGCGATCTGGGGCACAGCGTGCACAGCGCGCAGGGAGGCGCCCAGCGCCAGCATGCCCTGCTCCGCCGAGATGGCGCCCTGGCCGATGCGGTCCAGCCGCTTCAGCACCGCCTGGGATGCCATGCCTGGGTGATGGGGGGGAGTGGGGGGGATGGATTGGTGTCTTTGTTCAAGTATGCTGATTGACGGTGCGCCAAGAGGAGAAGCCGATGGAGGGCAGGAGGCTGGAAAGGGCAGGTGATTTTCTGAGTGCGGCAGCCACTCCACAAGATACCCACATCACAACCATGCTCTCCCATCACAATATCTCATTGAAATAAACCCCTCTCTCCACAAAAGATCCCCACCTGAGGAGGCCCAAGCTCCCCACTGCACGGCGGTCGCGTTCGCGCCCGAGGCCATCTGGGCGTGCGCCCAGGCATCCAGGGCTGCGTTGGCCGCGGCGTAGTTGCCCTGCCCGGCCGCGCCCAGCAGGGAGGCCACGGAGGAGAAGAGCAGGGTGGCGGCCAGGGGCCCCGGCGCCTCGCGCAAGGCGTGCAGCGGCCCCAGCTTGGGCGCCAGCACACGCCTGACCGAGTCGGCGGTCTGCTGGGCCAGCAGCGAGTCGCGCAGGATGCCGGCGGCGTGCAGCAGCGTCGTGATGGGCAGCCCTTCCAGCACCCCACCACACACCAGGCCCTGGAGGTCGGCAGGCACCGATGCGTCTACGGCCGCGAGCGTCATGCTGGCCGGGGAGGCCAGCAGGCCAATCGGAGCGGCCTCACCGGTGCGCCCAGACCTGCTGAGCAGCACCAGGTGGCGTGCAGCGTGCGTGGCCGCCGCCCAGTCGGCCATGGCCAGGCCCAGGCCCCCCGTCCCGCCGGTGACGGCGATGCCGCCGCCCGCGGCGCGGCCGGGGAGGGCGCCCGCCTCGCCGGCGCCGACCACCACCTTGCCGACGTGCGTGGCCTGCACCATCTGACGGAAGGCGCCCGCCAGCGCGCCCAGGCCGTGGGCGATGCTGCGCAGCGGGGCCAGCGCGCCGGAGGCCAGGGCGCTGGAGATGCGGGCCAAGGTGGACTGGATGATGGGGGCGGGGAGGAAGTCCACCGCCAGCAGCGAGTACCCAACGTCGGGACGCTCTGTGCCCGGGGGGGTGGGGGGATGGTGAGTAGGGTGTACGAAGGCGACACAGTGGGGTAAAGGGGCCCCTCAAATGGGGGCCACTGGTTCGTGTGAAGGGGTCCAGGGGGAGGTGCATGGATCAGGGCCTGTCCAAGCACCGAGCACCCCTTATATCATGACCCACCCTGAGCGACACGCCCCGCGCTCCAGATGTCGCGCTTGCTGATCTCCACAAAGCGCCCGCTGGCATTCAGGGCCGCTAGGGACCCTGCCACCATGCCGGAGGAGGTGAGGCTGTTGAGTACCACGTCCACGCCCCCCAGCTCGGCGACCTCCGAGACAAAGGCGGTGTCACGGGAGTTGAGGACCTCGTGCGCGCCCAGACTGCGCAGGAGGGCGCGCTTGGAGGCGCCGCCTGCCGTGGCCACCGCCACCCCGCCCGCCGCCGCCGCGACCTGCACGGCCGCGAGACCCACGCCGCCGGCGGCGGCGTGCACCAGCACCCGCTCGCCGGGGCGCAGGGCCGCCGCGGAGTGCAGCGCCAGGACCACCGTGATGAAGACGGTGGGCGTGGTGGCCGCCTGCTCGTAGGAGAGCTGGGCTGGGAGGGGGTGCAGCGTGGCGGCGGGGGACACCACGGCGGTGCCCAAACAGCCATGCGCCAGCCCAAACACCGCTTCGCCTGTTGATTGTTTTGAGAGTGGAGGGAATGGAGGCGGGAGTGTTGGGTATGGGGATGAGGAGGGGCAGGGTAAGTCCTATACACACACACACACACACACACTCGAATACACAAAGAGCACCTACCAGGTTTGAGGTGGGTCACGGCCGACCCGATCCTCAGTACGACCCCGGAACAGTCCGAGCCGGGCATGCCAGGGTCTCCCGGGTACATGCCCAGCACATTTAGCACGTCCCTGTGGGATGAGAGGGTGGGGGCGGGTCTCAGTGGGGAATGCGGGACCAGGTTCCCATAAGATGCATTGCCATGCGGCCACATCTTGTCACTTCGCCGCTCCCCGGGGCACCCCACCTGAAGTTGATGCCCACGGCCTTCACGGACACCAGCACCTCGTGGGGCTTCAGCACCACTCGGTCGGCATCCAAGGGCACGGCGGTGAGGCTGGCCAGGGACCCCCGGGGTTGGGGCTGGACCTGCACCAGCTCGCGCGAGGGCGCCGGCGCCGCGCTGCGCAGCAGGCGGGGCAGGCGCGTCAGCGCGGCCCCGTGCCGCGTGGTGTTCAGGATGCCACGGCTCAGCAGATTCTCTGCTGGGATGTCGAGGGCAAGAGCCTCGGCGCCGACGTCCAGCGAGAAGGCGCAGCCGGCGTGCTCGCTGGCCGCGACGCGCAGCAGGCCCTCGCCCGCCGCGCTCAGCGCCTGGGTCTTCAACGTTGAGCCCGGGGCCCCGACAGGGACGGACTCTGGCGCCGAGGCGTACACGGCGCCGTGATCGTTCCCGGCAAACGTCTGCAGGGCCTCCAGCACGGCCGGCAGCGCGACGCTGGGGTCGCGTGCGGCGGGCACGGCGATGCCGCCCAGATGAGTAGAAATGGACAGGCGCTCAGGCACACCAACCTCAACCCGCCCCTTTGCTGGCTGGACCACCTGCTCCCACTCGACGGCGTACAGGAAGTCGGCCGGCTGCAGCGCGCGGTCCGCGGCGGTCTTGGCGCGCGGGCGCACGACCTTGGTCTCCAGGCCGGCCAGGCGCGCGGCACCGCGGCCCAAGTTCAGCCTGAACCCGGCAACCGTGAGCTCCTCGTCCGGGACGCCGTGCACGCCGTCGGTACTCGCCGCCAGGGCCTGCACCTCGGGGCGGGGCGCGCGCGCGTCGGCGCCGTAGGCCGCCAGGGCCACGGGCACCTTTGCACCTGTGCCCGGCGCGGCAACGCCCAGGTGCAGCGCGGAGTCCATGGCCGGGGGCGGGACGATGTAGCCGTCCGATGCGCGGCCGGGCGGCAGCGCCACAGAGCCGAGCGCGGTGCCGGGCGCGGCGCGGCACAGCGCGACCAGCGCGGCGCGGCCCAGCAGCAGGCGCTTGGCGGCGGCCACGCGCGCCGAGGCGGCCGAGGCGGCCGCCAATTCCACGACCGCGCCGTGCTCTCCTGAGGCGTGCTGCGCACGTTGCGCTCCCTTGGTGCGGCTGGACAGCGTCCAGGCGCCCAGGGAAGGCCGCACGTCCACGGTCAAGACCGGCAACGCTCCGGGCTCGGCCAGCACCAGGGGGCCCGAGATGGCCATGGCCGCGACATGCACGCTGCGCTCCTCGCCGCCCAGCGCCCAGCCGGCGGCCAGCGCGGTCTCGGCCATCCCCGCGGCGGGGAAGAGCACGCGGCCGAACACAGCGTGGTGGGCGTAGGCGCCCAGCCGCGCCGAGGCCAGGCTGCACTCCAGGCGCACGCGCAGCTCGCCGCCGCGGCGGGCGGAGGCGCTGGCGTTGCTCAGCAGGGCGTGCGGCGCGGGCACGATCCAGGAGCGGGCCTCCTGCCACGGGGCGTCACGTCCAGCCACCATCCAGACGTCGGTGGCGCCGCCCGCCTGGCCGGCGCCGGGGCTCAGCAGCGCGTGCGCGTTGGTGCCCTGGAAGGCGAATGCCGACACGCCGCCCAGTGGCACGCTGCTGACGCCGCTGTACGCGCTGGGCACCGGCTGGCGAGGGGCCAGGGTGCGGCAAGCGGGGCCGCCCCGCGCGGTGGCGGCCAGCGCGCTGTCGACGTAGGGGTTGACGTGGACGAGGTAGGGCAGCGGGTCGGCCCCAGCCTGGCCCAGGGTCAGGGCCAGCCGCGTCAGGCCCACGATGCCGGCGGCGGGCTCGGCGTGGCCCATGAAGGCCTTGGCGGCCGTCAGCGTCAGCGGCGCGCCGCGCGGGCCGCCGTTCTTGGAGGACGCGCGCAGCAGCAGGGCTGCCGCCGCGCCGATCTCGATGGGGTCGCCCAGCGGCGTGCCTGCGGGGCGGGGGACGGGTTCAGGGGTGAGCTTGTGTGTAGCGCACAGCTTCAGAATGAAAAGTTGACCTCGATCAACCACGTCACCATTCTACTAGCCAGACCGCCACCAGGGACGCAATGCATCCAACACCCCGATCCCAGACACACCTGTGCCGTGCATCTGCAGGTGCCCCACAGCCCCAGGCTCGAGCCCGCCGGCCCTCAGGGCCAGCTGCACGACCTCCTGCTGGCTGGGTCCGTTGGGCGCGGTCAGGCTGGAGGACCTGCCGTCCTGGTTGACCGCCGAGCCGACCAGCACGGACAGGGCGGTCCAGCCACCGTCTGTGGTGAGGGGTGGAGGGATCCAAGCAAAGGTGAGCAAAGGAGCGGGGATGAAAAGGGGTCGGAAGACATTCCCTGCAACTCCATTGTGGGAAACCACAGTTTTCTGAAATGTTGCAGCTGTCGTAACACTGGACCTGCAGGTGCCCACCCCTGGACCTCCTCGGCTCACCGGTGGGGTGCACAAGGGAGGCGTGGGTGAGCATGATGGCTCCCACTCCCTCAGCCCTCACATAGCCATCTGTGTCAGGGATGGCGAGGGAATGGTGACGGGAAGGAAAGTAGCAATTACAAACACACCCACTGCTGCAAGCACCAAGTGAGATGCGCGCCAGGCTGCAGGGCATGACACCTTCACGAGCATATCGCGATGAAGCCAGAGATCTGGCTTGCAAGTCTCGCAACCCACCACCTGCACAGAGTCTCAAGCAAGCACAGGCCACACCCTCAACCCCACACCCTCAACCCATTCCAAAACACCAACCCCGCTTGCACCTGCCGCCGCATCAAGGGTCTTGCAGCGCCCCTCCTCCGACAGCATGCCGGCGCGCAGGCAGGCCTGCGTCCAGCTGTGCACCAGCGTGAGATTCACCCCCAGGCTGGCAGCGGCCCGGCTCTCGCCGCGCTCCAGCGCAGCGGCCGCCAGGTGGGTGGTGACCAGGGAGGAGGAGCAGGCGGTGTCCACCGACAGCGCCCCGCCCTTGAAGCCGTAGGTGTAGGCAATGCGGCCGGGGGCGACGGACAGGTGCGCCCCCGTGGCATAGTAGGTGTTCAGCGCGGCGGCACCGGTCTCCAGGCTGATGCGGGCGTACTCCAGCTGGGACACGCCCACATAGACCGAGGTCTCGCGCGAGAATTCGGAGAGGGCCAGGTGCGAGGCATAGGCCTCGCCAAAGCTCTCCATGGCCAGACGCTGCGTGTGGGTTGGATTGGTGCGCGTGTGAGTTTGCGTAGGTTTACTGTGCTGGGGTGAAGTAAGAGCATTGCAGGGATGCAACAGAGCCGTTGGTACTTGAGCATCGGGGGCAGCCATGTTGCATGGGCGTTGAGGCCATCCTGTACGGACGCTAGATTACTGCCCATCACCCATCCCATCCTATCTACCTGCTGGGGGTCCATGAGCAGCGACTCGGCAGCAGATATGGAGAAGGCAGCGGCGTCAAACGTGTCCACATCCGACAGGAACGAGCCGAATGAGTTGTTGAGCTCTGCGGTGTTGAATGGGCCAGATGAGAGTGAGGTGGAGGCACTCCTTGCACGAGGAGTACAACAGGCATTGGATGTAGGGGTGTGAAGACCTGATGTGAATGCCAATAAACTGTTTGTAGCGGGCGTGGAATAAAACAGCGCAGGCTTGGCAAGCCACCACAGAGAGATGCTGCAATAAACCCGGGCAGACGCGGCCCCGAGCATATAACATTGTGTCCCTGGCATCGGTCAGCTGCAAGTACCATCTCCTCACTCAAGAGTTCAGAACCCCCCCTCCCCCAACCACACACCACCACAGCACCTCTGAGGTTGTAGGAGGGCGCCAGATCCACATCCCAGCGCTCCAGCGGCACCGGCGTGATCCGGTCGTTGTGAACGCGTGTGCCCTGGGCCAGCTTGCCGCCAGGGACGGCGTGCGACTGGCCGGTGACGACGCAGACGGGTCTGGCCGGCGCGTCGGGCTCCAAAACGAGCGCGACCGGCACCTGCGAGGTCGCAGCAGCAGGCGCAATCTCAGCGCGCTGCTGCTGCTGGGCCAGAGCAGGTGCCAGGCCGGCGTCCACGATGAAGGCTGCCATCTCGGCAGGGGAGGGGTAGTCGAACGCCAGGGTGCCCGGCAGCTCCGCGCCGAGCGCAGCCTCCAGCGCGGAGACCAGCTGAACCGCGGCGCTGGAAGAAACGCCGGCCGCCATGAGCGGGGTGTCGGCCTGCAGATCCTCCCCGTGCCCCACCAAATCTGCCACCGCACGCAGGATCTCCGCCTGCACTGCAGTCAGGGGGGGAGAGGAGGGAGGGGCGGAAGGGGCCTGAATGGTACTAGAAGAACGCACCTGACTGGCCGCGGTTTGCTCGACTGCGGCAGGGCCCGCCAGCGCCACCTCGGCATCGATGAAGTCCGCCACCTCGCGCACGGACGGGTAGTCGAAGACCAGGGTGCCCGGCAGCTCCAGTCCCAGCGCGGTCTCCAGGGCAGTCACCAGCTGGACCGCGGCGGTCGAGGAGAGGCCCGCCGACATCAGGGGCTCATCCAAGTCCAGGGAGGCAGGGGATACGCCCAGCAGGTGCGCCGTGGCCTGCCCCACGACCGCCAGGCTGGAGGGGCGGGGGCCAGGCTTGGCCGTGACGGTTGACGGCCCATGGCGGGGCGCCGGTGGCGGCGCAAACATGGCTGTGGGAGGGGCCGGGGTGGCAACCTCTCCGCGAGTCTCCTCGCACAGAAAGTCCACCAGCTCCTGGACGGAGGGGTAGTCGAAGACGAGGGTGGCGGGGAGGGTGAGGCCCAGCGCGACCTCCAGCCCCGCCCCGAACTGCACGGCGGCCGTGGAGGACAGCCCCGCTGCCATGAGCGGCTCGTCGTCGGCCACGGCCGCGGCGGCCTCCGTGCCCAGGATCGCGCTCAGCGCACGCCGCACGGCGGCCTCCAGACCCTTCCTCTCCGGACCGGCCGCGGCGGGCGGGGTGGCAGGGACCTCAGTGGCGGCCGCAGACGCCGGCGCCGAGGGAACGGCGGCGCCGGCGGTCTTCTCCGAAGCGAACGCCTTTTCCTCCTCTGCAGCCGCCGGCAGGAGGACGGCCGCATAGGGCGGCAGCAGCTCGCGCGCGGCGGAGAGCGCGGTGCGCAGCCGCACGCGGTCGCCCGCCAGGAAGCTGGCCGGGTCCAGGCACAGGACCACCAGGTCGGCGCCCAGCGCGTCGACGCGCAGCTGGACGGGCGCCAGCGCCGCGTCGTCGGGGCGGAAGAGCGCGACCAGGGCCAGCGCGCGCGCGCCGCGGTCCAGCGCGGCCGCCACGACGTGCTCCAGGTCGGCGGGCTGCAACGCCACCAGCACGTAGGCCATGGAGGGGAAGATGTCTTTCCCCGGCTCCACGCCCACGCCGGCGTCCAGTGTCAGGACGGGCAGGTCCCCGCCGGCGGCCGCCGCCAGCTGGAAGCCGGCCTCTGCCACGCTCACGCTCCTGGGCGCCGGGGCTGCAGCGGACGCCGGGGTGGGAGCGGGACACGTCCCGCCGGCCCCGAAGCGTTCGCGCAGCTCAGTCTTCAGGATCTTGCCCGACCCTGCGGCGGCGGGTGATTTGCCGAGGGGTTTGAGGGCCTTGAGAGCGGCACATGATGTGCATGGTCAGGGTGCATGGCAACATCCCCCCCACCTGCATGCAAACCATCCTCCTGGAGCAAAACCATACCATCCTTGCAGAGCCCCGCACTGCACGCCCTCTGCCTGGGAAACAGCCAACAACAGCTCACCGGTGACGGGCATGGCGTCCAGGATGTGCACCGCGCTGGGCACCTTGTACTCCGCCAGGCGCTCGGCGCACCAGGCGATGAGCGCGGCGGGGTCCGGGCGGGGCTGGACGCTGGGGTCGAGGGTCACCGCCGCGCCCACCAGCTCGCCCATCACGCGGCTGGCGACGCCGAAGACGGCCGCGGCGCGCACGGCGGGGTGGGCGTGCAGCACGCTTTCCACCTCGGTGGTGTAAACGTTCTCGCCGCCCACCAGCAGCATGTCCTTCACGCGGTCCACCACGCGGATGCAGGCGCGAGGGGCGTGCACCCCCAGGTCCCCGGTGCGGAACCAGCCGTCGGGGGTGAAGGCGTCGGCCTGGGCCTCGGGCAGGTTGTAGTAGCCCTGGAACACCGTCTCGCCTCGCACCACCACCTCCCCCGTCTGGCGTGATGGAAGGGGGGGTGTCGGGGGCAGTCAGGGTCCCGAGGTGCGGGGGGGATGGTCTGCGACTGATCAAGCACAGGAGACCCTTCCCCTGGCGCCAGCCTCAGCGCCGGGCGAGGGGCATCCCACCTTGTCGGAGTCGGTGGGGATGTCGGCCCCGGCCTCATCCACCAGCTTGACGTCCACCAGCACAAAGGGACGCCCACTGCTGCACACGTAGGCGAGCTGCTCCTCCACTGTGCGGAGAGGAAGGGGGTGGCGACTGTCGTGGGTGAGGTGGAGAGGGCATGGGCTGGTGCTTCTGGAAAGGCGCCAAGTCATGCATCATAAACTCTCCTGCACACCAGCAGGAACAAGGTGGTGCTTTGCTGAATGCAGCCCTACAACCACACCTCAGTCCAACCTCCTGGCCCAGCAACTCACCGGTCATGCCCGCCGCGTCCTCTGGCAGGATGCTCATGCAGATCTTGCCGCAGGTCTCCGTCATCCCGTAGGAGAGGAAGAACTCGCACCCAAACACCTGGGGAGGCGAGGCCAGCGAGGATGGGTATGACGGCGCAGGCGGCGTGGGATTGGGCGATAGCATGCAGAGCAACTTTGGCTGTGCTACTGTCCAAGTGGACAGACGAAGATGAGTTCACGTGAGGGCCTCACCGCAATGGCCCGGGCCACTACGGCCGGGGACTGGGGCGAGCCGCCGCAGGAGACGAGGCGCAGGCAGCTCAGGTCCAGCTGCTCGACCAGGGGGTTGTTGACCAGCATGGTGATCATGGTTGCCGCCACGTTGCTGCAGCTCACTCGCTCGCGCTCTAGGTCAAGCAATGGATGGGAGGGTCATAGGGGGCAAGGGAATACCCATGGTGAGATCTAGCCGTCTTGACCGTTTCCTCGACCGTTCCGGGTACTGGCACGCGGGTGCATGTAAGCGTCGCGCAACTCCCCGCTCCCACCCGCAACCCAGCGGGTGCTGACAGCGCCAAGCAATGCTCGCTGTCTCACCAATGGTCAGCAGCGTGTCGACGGGGGTGAAGGAGGGCAGGATGACGTGGCGGCCGCCCACCAGGGTGATGGCGTACACCGCAAACACATCCACCAGATGGAACATGGGCGCAAAGTGGCCCCACACCTCGTACGGGCCCAGGTTCATGTCTAGTGGGTAGGAGAGAGTGGGGTGAGAAAGAGGGGGAGGACATGAGGGGAGAAGATGGGATGCCCCACATTGAAACGGCTCTGCCATGCTTCAACATCATCTGCCTGATGTGTCCCTTTCCCAGCACTGCTCCCCCTCCCTTGCTCCCCCCACTGCCTATTCTCACCAACGCCTCTGCCTCGCCTCACCCTGAATGGTGCCCAGTGCATGTTGCAGCACGATGCGCTGACTCAGCATCACGCCCTTGGGCTTGCCCGTCGTGCCAGAGGTGTAGTAGAGGTGGAAGTTGTCCTCGCCTGCGTTCTCCCTGTCCAGACCCAGCCCTGCGACGGTCTCAAGCCCGATGTCCAGCAGGGAATCTATGACGCTGGCGTAATCAAAGGCCTGCAGGTAGGGTAGCGTGTCGTATATGTCAGCGAAGGAGGCCAAAGGGAGGACAAGGCGGCCTCTGGCTGCAGTCACTGCAAGAATTTCACCCTCAGAAACAAGGGTGAGATAGTGTTGTGACCCTACCACACAATTCAGTCGCTCGCTCACCTCGATGCCTGAGGGCAGCACGGCAGATGCCAGGGCCTGCTCGCCCGCCTGGCCCCCCTCCACATCCAGCCAAAGCAAGGGGGCGCTGGGCACCGACAGGCCGCCGCCGGAGTCGGCCTGCACTGCATTCAACGCGGTGAGCAGGCTGGAGGCCAGGGAGGTGTCTGCCACGATGGCGGCCGGGTCGGAGTTCTCCAGGATGTAGGCCATCTCCGGCGGTGCCAGGTGGACGTTGATGTTGACCACCACGGCGTGCAGGGCGGCTGCGGCAAAATGGGCCTCCATCACGCCCAGGCTGTTCCGGGAGGCGACGGCCACCCGGTCGCCCCGGCCCACGCCCTGGGAGGCCAGGAAGGCCGCCAGGGCCGCGGCCCGGGCGTGCAGGGAGGCGTAGGAGTGCAGGGCGCCGGAGCCCACGTCCACCACTGCCAGGGCGTCGGGTTGGGCCCTGGCCGTGTTGGCCAGGACTTGCCAGCAGTCGGCCAGCGGCCACTGTCCGGCATCGGGGGGGTCCCCCATTTTTTGGATTTTCAGTTACTTTTTGCTACCTGCGTGGTGTACAAGGGGAGATAGGCGTGAGGCAGGCGCGATCGGGAAAAGTCGTTCCCGGTTCAAACCCACGGCCATGTTCGCGGCGGGATGGCGAGAGGAGCCCGAAGAATGCAGCGAGCCGCGGCAGGCAATTATGAAATAGGCTATCAGTGCGTTCTGGATCCAATGCCGCATCGCCAGCGCCAGCTTCGGGTCGCACCAGGTGTGTATGAGTTGCAGTGGTGTTGTCGGCCTGGCGCGGTGGTAAGGCGGACAGGTCCCTTCTCTCCCCGATCAACGTCAATGCAATGCAATGGCGATGTAATGGTTTCGGAGGGGGGGTGCGAGGGCCGGAGGGCGGGATGTTGTAGCGCAGGCTCGGACCTGCAAACGCTTGGAGCTAATCCGTGTGGTCAAGCTCTTTCCATTTCATCCCTGAACCCCACTTGCAACATTGGGCTCACCCTTCGTGAACACCACCAGGAGCGCTGTGTGGCATCTGTGGGCTTACATATCCATCCGGGCATTGCTATGTATCCTTAAGAAGACATTGCTACTTGCAGAGAATTCTTGGCAGGCATTTTGCCCGGGCAATAGGCCTCCTTCATCCCATACAGCATGGAGGCTGGACACATTGAATTCATACACAGCCCACAATTACCATCCTGTTGTGATTGCATGATCCCTGGTCACAGTTGAGGTATTGCTGGACTTTGCAATATTCATATCTGCATCTGCAGTTGTGATGAGTTACTCGGCCCCTGCCCCAACTTTTACATCGTGGCGCGAAAATCCTCCTCCTCGGGTTTCCGCTATAAACCTCATCACGTTCTCGTAGATTGCCGTGCTGACAACATCTCATTCGTAATTGACCAAGAGGAACACAACTCTATTTTGGCTGGTCGCGACCCAGCACCCGAGAGCAGCGATGTCCCTGTTCGGTCGGGCGTCCGTCGCGAGCCTGCGCCACATCAAACTGCGCGGCGCGCACGCCGACAAGGGCAGCTTCTTCCAGCAGGGACACAACACACCAAAGGGGCAGCTGTTCGGAGAGTCTCCCCTGAAGCCGGGGGAGAAGCGGCACTGGGAGTCTTGGGAGGGCCCTTGGTGAGTACATTTGTTGGCCAGCAGGATGTAAAATGGGGACTCGGGCACGTCTGTATACTCGGCTTGATGGCAGGAGAGCCTGAAGGTGGCCCTGACACTGCGGGTAGGCCCAAGAAGTCGGTTCACAACTTGCTCCCAGTGTTGGGCATCTCACAAACCCCCATCAACCCTCTGCAGGTACTTCACCTTTGGAGCAGCAGCAGCCATTCTATTCTTCGGCCTGAAGGCGCGCCCAGACAGCAGTCTTACCCACTGGGCAGACAAGGAGGCAGAGAAGAGGGTGGAGAGCGCCCTGAGCTCCTGAGGACAGGATGGCACTGCCCAAGGGAGCAGGTCGCAGGCAAAATGGAGCACAGCAGAAATCCCGGAAGCCTGTGAGCAGGGTTTATTGGCTGCCCTGTTACATAGGATCATGACGTTCCCATGCCGCTCGTCCCTCCTGGAGTCCCACCCAGACCGGGTCGGGGGGGGGGGGGGGGGGGGGGCACCTATCCTGTAAGGCTGAACTGTGTACTTCCAGATCTATGTTGCATGCTGTACACCCAGCAGCCATGCTAGAGGTCCCCAGGACATGACTACGCGTGGCATGTCAAAGACATAGATCTGTTGCTACAGGGTGAGTCGCAAGGGACTCGCTTCTTCAGGGGTTCAGCATTCATCAGCGATTGGGCAGCCATGCACCAGAACCGTGTGGTCACACAAGGAGTGGGAAGCCTCTCATTCAGCAAATAAAGTCTAGAAAGCACGGCCAGCGGCCACGCTCTGCTTGATCTTGGCAATGGCCTTCCCAGGGTTCAGTCCTGTTGAGAAAAAGAAGGTGTGGTGGGTAAGGGTGAGTGAGCAGTCTCCCTGGGAGGGATGTTTACAATCTTCATTGGATACATCTCATACACATCGGCAAGTATTCCTGCGTCGATATCACTCAAGCAGGCTCCCAAACGGCCAGATGAAATCATACCAACCCCTCCAAAATACAACACTAGTCCCCCAAAGTGGACACGCAACTTTTATTCCAACCCCACCTCCCCCTCCCCCGCCTCCCTGCTCACCCTTGGGGCAGACGGTGGCACAGTTCATGATGGTCTTGCAGCGGTACAGCTTGAACTGGTCGTCCAGATCGGCCAGGCGCTGCGTGGTGGCCTCATCCCGGCTGTCGATGACCCAGCGGTAGGCCTGGAGCAGGACGGCGGGCCCCAGGTACTTGTCAGAGTTCCACCAGTAGGAGGGGCAGGAGGTGGAGCAGCAGGCGCAGAGGATGCACTCGTACAGCCCATCCAGCTTGGCCCGGTCCTCCTTGGTCTGGCGGTGCTCCAGGCCGTCGGCGGGCTTGGGCTTGAGCAGGAAGGGCTTGATGGATTTGTACTGGGCGTAGAAGTTGGCCATGTCCACCACCAGGTCCCGGATGACGAACATGTGGGGGAGGGGGGCCACGCGGGTCACGGCCGAGGGGTCGCGCTCCACCTTTGTCAGGCACGCCAGCCCGTTCTTGCCGTCGATGTGGGCACCTATCCTGTAAGGCTGAACTGTGTACTTCCCAGATCTATGTTGCATGCTGTACACCCAGCAGCCATGCTAGAGGTCCCCAGGACATGACTACGCGTGGCATGTCAAAGACATAGATCTGTTGCTACAGGGTGAGTCGCAAGGGACTCGCTTCTTCAGGGGTTCAGCATTCATCAGCGATTGGGCAGCCATGCACCAGAACCGTGTGGTCACACAAGGAGTGGGAAGCCTCTCATTCAGCAAATAAAGTCTAGAAAGCACGGCCAGCGGCCACGCTCTGCTTGATCTTGGCAATGGCCTTCCCAGGGTTCAGTCCTGTTGAGAAAAAGAAGGTGTGGTGGGTAAGGGTGAGTGAGCAGTCTCCCTGGGAGGGATGTTTACAATCTTCATTGGATACATCTCATACACATCGGCAAGTATTCCTGCGTCGATATCACTCAAGCAGGCTCCCAAACGGCCAGATGAAATCATACCAACCCCTCCAAAATACAACACTAGTCCCCCAAAGTGGACACGCAACTTTTATTCCAACCCCACCTCCCCCTCCCCCGCCTCCCTGCTCACCCTTGGGGCAGACGGTGGCACAGTTCATGATGGTCTTGCAGCGGTACAGCTTGAACTGGTCGTCCAGATCGGCCAGGCGCTGCGTGGTGGCCTCATCCCGGCTGTCGATGACCCAGCGGTAGGCCTGGAGCAGGACGGCGGGCCCCAGGTACTTGTCAGAGTTCCACCAGTAGGAGGGGCAGGAGGTGGAGCAGCAGGCGCAGAGGATGCACTCGTACAGCCCATCCAGCTTGGCCCGGTCCTCCTTGGTCTGGCGGTGCTCCAGGCCGTCGGCGGGCTTGGGCTTGAGCAGGAAGGGCTTGATGGATTTGTACTGGGCGTAGAAGTTGGCCATGTCCACCACCAGGTCCCGGATGACGAACATGTGGGGGAGGGGGGCCACGCGGGTCACGGCCGAGGGGTCGCGCTCCACCTTTGTCAGGCACGCCAGCCCGTTCTTGCCGTCGATGTTCATGGCGCAGGAGCCGCAGATGCCCTCGCGACAGGAACGGCGCAGGGACAGGCTCGAGTCGTGGTCGTCCTTGATCTTCAGCAGGACGTCCAGCATCATGGGGCCGCACCTGGGCGAGGGGAGGACGCACGGTGCCGGAAGTTTGCGAGTGAACACCGCCGCTGGTTCGTTTCAGTCAAACCCCAGGCTGGGTGCTGAGCCGCGTGTCGCAAGGGATGGGAACAGTCAGCCATCCACTCACGAGTTGATGTCGACCTTGTATGTCTGGTATTTCGGAGCCTCGCCATCGTCTGGGTTCCACCGGTACACCAGGAACTCCTTCTCCACAACCGGCTTGGCAGCTGCAGCTGGGGTGGCAGCCGATGTGGCTGCTGCTCGTACGAATCCAATTTCGGGTGCCGCGCGGGCTGCACCCCTGGCCAGCGCCCTGCTAAGGGACAGCATGGCGGGGCAGTCAAGTTGGGCGCTCTGGCCTCACTAGCTCGACGTGCAATTCCCAGCCACGATTCGAGTAATCTTTCCCGATTTTAAGGTGGTTGGTTTACTCGATCCGAGTTCGGTGGAGCACATAGCTCTGGGTTTCTTTAGTAACCAGGCAATGAGTGGAGTAACACACGCGGCGATTCCAGGTTTCCAAATCGACTTCCGTAGGGCGCCATGGTGACAACGTGGAAGAAAACACATTCTCACGAGGGACCTGAACGTCCATGTTGCAATGTAGTGTTTCAAACTGCCAGATGAGAAGATGTTGATGTCCTATGGCCCTCGAGGGAGGGTGTTTGCAGCGGCACGACCAGCTGGATACCTGACACCGAAACCCCATCGATCGTATGCCAGAATCTCAAGCACACGGGCTCGAGCGACCAATGATTACCAGGCATGGATTCTAGGGGTCTTTCTCGTACCATCGATGCGGGAGATACAGCTGAGTGCTTCTTAGTCGACACTGTGCGCATTGACGCCATTCTCCCCTCCGCAGGACTTGCTGCATGAGCTCGTGGAATTGAGCGACGAACAGCTAGAGGCGTGGAGCCACTCCCACGCCGACTGCATTTCTTTTCATTTCCTCAAGTGGCTGGCTACTGAGCCCCATGGTCCACTGGAGGATGCTGCAGACACCCTGGGAGCCCGCCTCACCCTACTCCAGATCGCATCCTGTGAGTATGGCCGTCGTCAGTGAGAACAGGGGCGAACGCTGTTGGTATCTATCTTTCAATTGAAATGGTATCCGACAGTCAGGGTGTACTGGTTCATGGCCGCGGTGTCAGAAGCTGTGAGATACTGCACATGGCTGGTTAGTGGCCGCTGCCAAGCTTCAGGCAAGAGCAGCGCCCATCATGCTTCCCACCTGCCACCCTCTTGACAGCGCATGTGGAGCCCACAGCCCTCCCGGCTCCCGTCTCAAAGGACGAGCTTGCCGATGAAGACAAAGCGCATCCTGTGCGGCTTGGTGCCCCGCCCCGAGGGCTGGCGCTGAGCCCAGAAGCATTTGCTGCCCTGCAGGCGCAGGCAGAGGCGTTTGGGAGCCAGCTGGGCATCAAGCGCGCCCAGGCGGTGCTGGAGATCCTGGGACGGAAGATCCTGGATGGTGAACAGGGCGGATACTCTGGTCCCAGCGATGCGGTGAGCAGGCAGCATTCTTTAGTATGTATTGACTTGGCACTGATCCCAACTGCACCAGCCATTGCTTGTACTATTAAGGAGTCTCGCCTGCACGGCAACTCCAAAGTCTCCAGCAGTCATTCTGCGTGCCTGGAGGTCCTCAATCGTGCCCTAACTACCCACAGGAGCGGATCCTTGACGTCCTGTTGGAGGTCGAGGGAAGGGAGGAGCGGAGACAACTCGCAGCTGATGCCTGCTCCCCCGCACCTCCCGCCACACCAGTGCCAGCAGACGAGGAGGATGTGGTCAGCACCACCCCCATGGCCCTCCTGCAGGCCGTGGCTGCAGCCCTCAAGGCTTGCCAGGGAGATGCAGCCAGGGACAGCTCTGTTGAGGCTGAGAGGCTGCGTGAGCTGCAGGCCGACTTGATACAGCTTTGGAATAAAGAGAGCTCACATTCCTAGCGCCATGGACTTTGTTGCAGTCCCAGCATTTTGTTGCAGGAAGTTTGAGTCGTGATCGCGCAGCGAAGCAAGGATGGGAATAGGCAGCATCAGTGGGACGGGCTTGTGTGAGGTCCTGGTTGACCAAGGCCCTTGTTGGAAAACAGTGTACTCCACGACAGATCTCCATATGCTTTTTGTGTGTATAACAGCTTGCCAGAGCTCGTCCTGAGATGACATGCAGATCTCCCTAAGGCTGTGCAGCCCTTGGAGGCCAGGACAGGATATCCTACCTTGAGCATCTCACGCTTCTTAGCAAAGCATCCTGCAGCATCTCTTTGCCGCCCTCAACCCCCTCATAACCCCATTGATGCAGTTGTACGTGGAGCTTGATTCATGTACGTGGAGCTTGAATCATGTACAAGGGGTGAAGGCATTCATTCAATGTGATTAAAATCGATGGATGAAATCAGGGGCGCATGACCGCCCATAGGCATGCCTATATGCATCGTAGGCTGGGCTGCAACTTCAGCAGAAGAAGAGAGGACAAGTTGGTCATCTCAGGTCCAAAACGCCTGAAGAGAGGAAAGCCAGACCGCACATGAATTGTTCACATATAACCTGCACGCTCATTTTCCTGTCTTGGCCTCCCAAAGCCATCTCATCGCTGGTAGGGAGGGGGGTGGCCTGGGCCTGCACCAACTGGCGTTGCTTCCTTGGCCTTCTCAATGAACTGCAAGTTGGCATTGACGCAGGGAGGACAAGCTGATGCCGTCTGATGTTGATGCATGCACAACAGCAGCAGCTCTGCACATCCCAAATGGCCCACAGTCTACTCCATCTATGGTTGATACTGCACCACCTCTCCAGTAGAGTCTCAGTTCAGTCTCACCTTGTCCGTGACTTGGCTCACAGCATCCCTACCAACCACAATCAGGCGGTTGATTATCTCAGGGTCTTGCTCAAACCGAGCCGCTTCATATTCTTGCCGAGCGCTCTCCCGCAGGACGTCCCGCCTGGGAGGGGGGGTCGCATTCGTCTACCATTTGCTGGGCTCGTCCAGCCGCTAAAAGCATGCATTGAAACAAGGCACAAGCGCAGACACAAGACTTTGTAATCGCCAAAGACAACCACTCATGCCCAGGCTATCAATGAGCGCAGCGTCCCCTGTTTCTCACCACAATCGGCCATCGTTGTCAGGGTACACAAAAGCACGAGTGACCCGCAAGATGTCTCGATATCTGCAGGGCAAGGGGGGTTGCAAGGCTGATCGATTGGGCTGAAGCGACAAGGGTATCAAATATATGGGGTATGGCATGTGGGACGGCACACGCGGATGCCTATCGCGACCTGACGATGATCTTGGCCCTCCCACATGCTACTGAAAGAGCTCACAGTGAGAGGGCCTCTCTGCGTGTCGTCAGCACCTGCAGAGGATTCAAGTCCTCCTTTCGAATCCGTTTCTTGGCCTGTGATGTGAAGAGGGGGTGGCAAAGAGGCACTTGTTTGGTCCAACTACTTTCAAGTCAGAGACCACACTTCCAACTCGGCTCGCCCCAAGCTCACCAGATTGGAATCGATGACATCGGCTACATCAGCGTCGCTGGCATCATACAGGTAGCCACCGCTGACGTGACGTTTCATGAATTCTTGAAAGTGCGATGGGCTCGCGTCTGTCCTCCAAACCCCCACCAAGCGCTGCCAAGGACAGTTCCGAAGCGCCATCTGTGAGCTTGTCGAGGGCACCAGTTACGAGTACAACTTCTTGAGTGGGATGACACTTTTCATTATTACAGTGTACAACTATACAACGGATGCTCCTTGCCCGGTGCTTGGAAATTCTGCCCATGTGGCGCCCTGCCGACGAGTTAAGAGATCCTGCTGCTGCGAAGGGTCCCACAGCAAGGCCCGTGTGGATGGAGCGAGCAGCTATGACAATCGCGTGCCCGGTAACAATATTGTTTTACATTGCAAATCAATACATCTGGTTGAAGTGTTGCGTGTACGGCTGGAACCGTGGAGATCCATCCATCTTGTGCTCCAGGCATGCAGATAGGGCGGCATGCCGGGGCCAGCATGCCATTCCTCGGGCCTTCCGCGGGGCCTCTGAAGCGATCAAGCCAGCACTTCAGGTCACATGCCTTCTCGCAGCATTTAAGAAGCAGGTCTGTGGCGAGGAGTCTTCATTCCCAGCCGCCAAACCCCATGCCACTGGGGTGGCCGTCCCCATCCCGGCACCTTGGCCAGGGCGGGGGCACCGCCCTGGCAGCTCAGGTGTCCTCCAACGACTTCAAGACCGGTATGACCATCGAGTTCGATGGCTCTCCCTATCGAGTCATGGGTAAGTGACTGGGCATGACGAGGATGGCAGGTGTGAGGGGCATGGTCATGGCCGCAAAATCCATGCAAGCATGACAGGCCACGCTGCCAGAGCAACTCTCATCTGCCCCGAATTTCCTGCGTGCAGAGTTCTTGCACGTCAAGCCTGGGAAAGGCGCGGCATTCGTGCGATCCAAGCTCAAGAATTACCTGACCGGGAATACGACGGAGCGAACATGGCGCGCAGGGGAGACTGTGGAGATCGCCCAGGTAGAGCAGGCGCATTCTTGTACACTCAGGACTGTAAGGACATGGATTGCACTCAGCAGAAGACTCTGTCCTGGATTTTTGCCCGACTGCATGAGTACACCTGCAGTGAGCTCAGCCCTCCGTCCTCTCCTGACTTTCACCAGATCGAGAAGAAGGACACACAGTTCACCTACACCGATGGCACTGATGTGAGGCTTTGCAGAGTGGCTGGGTGCTTTGCAAGTTCGCACTCAGAGCTAGCAAGGGTTGTGGTGGCTGTGCACATACTCTTCACGGGCTTTTCGATTACTTCACCACCACTTGTCCTGCAAGGGATCACACCCCCTCAAGACCCTCACTCCACCATCTCCACACTTCCTCTGAAACTCGAATCTAGTTTGTCTTCATGGACATGTCCAGCTACGAGGAGATTCGTGTGCAAAAGGACCCCACGTGGGCAAAGTACCTCACTGAAGGGGCCAGTGTGTCGCTCGTGCTCTGGAATGGCACGGTGAGTACTTCGTGAAGTGGAGATATGCCTGCCGAATTTTTGCAAGCTTAAGAAGGGTGTCTGCAATGCCAGTTGTACGTTGCGGCAGGATGTCGATGCTGCACCTCTCATCTGCTCCTGCCTGCATGGCATTGATGCAGGTGATCTCCGTGGACCCACCTGCGACGGTGGAGCTGCAGATTGTGGAGACCGACCCTGGGGTCAAGGGGAACACCGCCCAAGGTCCGCGGTTGTGGTCTTGACAGACGCCACATGATGCAATGGTTGATGCAATGAGTGATGCTATGCTTGGGCTCGACTCCCTAGGCATGCACGGGTTAGCTTGTGATGCACCCTCAAGCATGCCTCTCCTTTTACAACACCACAGGAGGCAGCAAGCCAGCGACCCTGGAGACAGGGGCTGTCATCTCTGTGCCCCTCTTTGTGCAGTCGGGGGAGCGCATCAATGTCGACACCCAGAGCGGCACGTATGTCGGCCGTGCCAGCAGTTAGGATGGTGCTGGTGCATGACAGCGAGGAGCGTGGAAGGGGCCAGGACAGCTCGTCTGAACGGGTGCTTGCTGGGGCGATGTCGCATATCGAGGCCTTTGAGCCTCTTGTGACCCATTCTTCCGCACACGGCCCCACCTCTACGTGGCTTGGCCGAGGTCATACTTGCAGAACTCGAGTACGTTCACATACTGAGCAGCAAGGCAGACAAGGAAACAGGGTCAGGCGCTCACAGGTCAACATCCCTCGGGTAGCTGCCCAGGATCCTTAGGAAGGGTGAAATCTCCTGGATGTGCATGGGCAAGGGAGGGACATGAAAACTGTGCACTGAGGGATAGGGGTATAAGGTCATCCTCATCATCCAGAGAAATCAAGTATGGAGCAAGCAGACATCCAAGGACAGCCTGTCCATGCTCGAAGATGCAACGCATCCCCAGAGTTTTTCAGAAAGTACGCCTCTGGCCCCCGACGCCGCTCCATGAGTCATCGCCGCGCCAGGGCCCCACCAACAAAAGCAACAAAAGCCAGGCTCTTCAGGCACTCCCCGCCACCCACCTCCATGTGCCTGAGGGCATTCTGGACCTTGGGCTCCGCCAGGGACCCCACGAAGTCGATGTAGAACATGTAGTTGAAGGTGCGCATGGAGGAGTCGTCGTAGTCCATGGACAGGACCAGCGGGTTCTCGCGCATCGGCCGGGACTCGATCTTGGTCAGGTCGATGTCGCGCAGGGCAAACACCGACAGCGCCTTGAACAGCATGCCCGGGCCCTGTGGCGCACCAAAAGGGGGTGGGACGAGGCATCGAGTCAGGAAATGCATGGGCAACCCCCCTGGGCGCAGCGGGTGTCGATGAGCAAGGCACGCCAGCCCCTTTGGAAGGTCCTCAACCCTGCCATGCACTCCGCAATCGAGGCGTGTGGAAGGGATGCAAGGTCGTACTCTGCCCCCGACTGGACACCGCCACATATCCCACCCCCCTTCCCGTTCCTCACTGTCCGACTCCATCAGAAACTCACCGCATGGAGCGTGAACACTATGCTGGTCTTGTAGGGGCGTGTGTCGTTGGGCTGGGCCGCCACCTGCGGGTCCCGGCTCAGCACAATGAAGCGGGTGACATTGTCGCACTGGTCCTGGATGCCGTCCTCCAGCACACTCAGGCCATACAGCTCCCCGGCACGACGGGAAGCCACCGCCGCCACGTCCCTGTGTGGACGCGCGGGGGGATCGGGTTGACAGCCGGGTGCCGTGCTTCAGGAGGCAGCGGAAAAGTATGGGGCCGGGGGCGATGAGTGGACTGGAGGCACGCCAGATGCGCCAGCACATGCAGGCTATCTCTCAGACCGACGCCCACCGCTGTCACCTCCATCTCCGACCTGCCGGCGCCCCGCTCCCCCTCCCCATGGAACAAGCACCCTCTCAGGAGCCCAGTGTTCTCCGCGTGACCCCTTAAATCACCTCCATCCCTTCTCTGAGATGAGCTTGGCGGCCCCTGCTGTGTCGTCCACAGCCTCACGTACCACTCCAAGCTTCCTGGTGTAGCCATCGGTTTGCGCCAGGGCCTGGGGATGACTCATCACACGTTTGATGTCGGTCTTGGAGACGCCGGGCAGCGCCAGGAGACAGTGGTTGACCTGTTGACCAGAACGGGGGCAGATGCTGGATGAGGCACGGCTCGACAGTGTTGACTGTCTTGGAGGTTGGCCGTAGGTGGGACCAACCCAGCCGATAGACCGTCTGGCTTCTTCTTGAATATATAGGTACCAAGCAAACAGTGCCTTGAGGAACCGCATGAACCAGCGAGAAAACCACATCATCCTTCCGACAGGGCCGTGCTGACGAGTGTGCAGCCTGACCCTGGGCACAGCACGCACTCTGAAGAGGTGCCCCACCAGAGCTCACCACAATGGAGACTTCCCCCACAATGTGAAGGCGGTATCGGAGAAGGAGGTCATAGACGTCGTGAATGGAACCGCCAAGGGAGTTTTCCACCGGAAGCACGGCTCTCTCAGCCAGCCACTGGGATGATATTGGAGAATGCTCGGGTTGAGGCACAGCTGCAAATTGCTCAGCCCAAGCCTGAATCGCAGGCCGACAAGAGCTTGCTCACCAAAACACCCAATCCCCTCATGCCGACAGGCTGGACGCTGGAATCACAACCCGCCTGTGCAAGCATCCCTCCCGTCCCCTGGCATTCAAGGTGCATCTCAGTTTTGCGCTCAACAACCCTCCATCTCCACAGTAACCTTCGCAGTACAATCACCTGAGACAGCGCTTGGAAAGCGACTTCGAACTGTTCACATGGCATGGGCTCCCAGTTCGGCAGGGCCTTCAGGGCTGCCATCTCCGAGTATGCACCAGGTGCCCCCTGGTAGGCAACCCTGGAGAGTGGGCGAAAGCCCGTCGCCAACTGCTGCACGGAGGAGGGGCCCGCCTCCTCGCCCTTGCCCGGCATTGCGAAGCGCAGCTGAGTGGCCAGACTGGGAGACCGTCCCGCCTGGAGGGTGGAGGAACTCACTCCCGTAGAAGGCTTCGGGGGTGTAGACGCCGTAGCCCAGACTGCCCCTGGCCCCAGCTTGGAGGCTCGCTGCATCCGGCCATCACTCCGTGGGCGCACAAAACCAGCTGTGTGACTGTGAGACACCATGCCGAGGGCCATTGTCTGCAACACTCTGGCCGACGAGGTACTAGTGGGCTTGCTGCACCCACCTAACCGAGTGCTTCGACACGCTCAACAACAATGACGTCCTAAATAGTGGACATGTGTAATGTGATCCGAAACCAATAATATGAATATGGTAGTCTGTCACTGCGGCAATCGCTTCGAGTGATATCTCGGGGCGTCATCCGCCTCGCGTGCTGACGTAAAGTAGGAGGGAATGCAAGGGGTGAATAAAAAGGAAACCAGTGGGTTGACGAGACACCAACGGCCCACTTCAATCATTTGCGCAGCAAGATGGCTACTGAGCAGCAACATATTGCAGCGAGAGTCTATGGCGCTGCCCAAATCCAGGATTGCCTCTTCAGCATGACTTCCAGGGGAAGGCAAGAAGGGGAAGTCGAGTGGAGTGGCTGCTCTCACTGAAACTAGCAGGACAAAGGCACGCAGCTGTCCAGGCACATCTTGAAGGGTTATGTGACCACGTGAGAGGCTTCCGAATAGGTCTTAGAGTTGGAGGTACAGATCTGGTCATGGCACATTAGGTTTTCTTTGAGCACGTGATCGTTCTGAAGAGAGCCCCCGGTGCACCGCGAGGCTGGAGCACAGCTGCCCATCCACGCTCACCACCGAGTGGATAGTCGATGAAATATTGAATTGTCATGGTGCTTTGAACACATTCACAGCGGCATCACATCGCCGACATGCAAGCTTGTACACGGAGCCTCGCAGGGGCTCCGGTCCACTTCCCTACCACACGACCCTGTCTCCATGCAGCGCGAGCCGCTCCCGGCCACTTGAGCTTCCTAAAACGGCATCCATGGGCGGCAGGAATGCCCGTGATACCTGCCCTTGTCGCTGCTAGGCGCCGCGTCCACCTCGTGAGGTGAGCGTGTGCAACCAACCCGTTACACCTCGACCCAGGCCCATGCCCTCCCCTGATTAAATCTACGCACCTCTCCACGCTACCCACAGGTCCCAAGAGAGAGATTCTGCTCCAGCACGGCCCCAGGTTCCCGAGCAGGTGGGAGCATTTGGTGGGGGGGGGGCATACTCTGTGGGTCGCTCATGAGCCCTCGTTGCTGCATGCGCATTGCGAGGGCTGAGCTGCTGGCTTGGGCCGCAGTGTCGAGGGGGAGCACTCAATGCATGCAAGCAGCACCTGACAGCGCACGCACCCTTTTTAGTTACAGGACGCCGCTGTCACGGCCCTCCTGGCCGAGTGCGGCCAGGACCTGGAGGAGTGCGACGTGGAGGACAGCCCAGAGCTGGCGCCGCTCAAAGAGGCCCTCCTGCGCGCCCGGCGGCGCAGGGACGAGGCCCTGGGGCAGCGGGAGGCCCTGGAGGCTGAGGCGCAGGAGGTGGCGCAGCTGGCGGTGAACGCCGAGACTGGCCTGGCGGCCGCCAGGAAGCTGCTGGAGGCCGCCAAGGCCAACCTGGCCTCGGCGGAGGCAGCCGCGCCTATTGCCACCGGGGCACCAGAGGCGGAGCCCGGCTCCACCACCGGCGAAGCCGGTCGCCGCCGCGGCCGCCGCCGAGGACCAGGGCGAGGCCCCTGGCCCCGCCGGCGAGGACCCGCTGCTGGAGGACCTGCGCAGCAAGGTGAGGGAGCTGGAGCACCAGGCGGCGGCCGCCGCCGTGGCCTACGAGTCCGCGGACCGCATCGCGGCGGCGGCCATGGAGGCCGCGGAGGAGGCAGTGCGTGACGAGATGGAGTGCATCGCCGTGTTCAACGAGGTGGAGAGCGCGCTGGCCAAGACCATCGAGGGCCTGCGCCAGCTGGACAGCACCTCCGACCGCCAGGAGGAGGAGTGGGACCGGGCCTCGCACTCCTCTCGTGCCTCTGGCGGCTCGCTCTCGGTGTCGGAGGCCACCGAGGCGGCGCTGGCCGCCGTGGCCGTCAGCACGAGCCCCGACGCGGTGGGTTGGAAGGGACATGGGGGGCTCCTTCTGTGGATATCATCGGCGGAAAGGAAGGCAATGGTGCTCAAGGCATGGGAGGGGCAGAAGTGTACGTCAGGCACATGTTCTTGTGCCCAACTGTGTGAGGGAGGCAGACGATGCTTGCATGCCCGGTGCTTGCAGCAAAACCGTCCAGACTCACCCTCTCCTGACCAGCGACCCCTTTTGCGGACGTATTCTCTCCACTTCCAAACACCAAACCCACCCTTCGCAGCTGGCCAAGGTCGCGGCAGCCGACGCAAAGCTGGAAGATGGGGTGACCCCCGTGACCAGCCTGCCCACCGGCGCCAGCGCCGGCAGCGCCGCGGTCGCCGCGGCGGCCGCGGCGAAGAAGAAGCGGCAGGCGGCCAAGAGGCCGCTGTCCGTCTACGTCATGGCCGCGGTGTTTGTCGCGGCGGCGGCGTCGGCGGCTCAGTACTTGGGCATGTTTGCAGCGCTGGCGGCGGGCGTGCAGCTGGCCGCGGAGCGCGCGGGCGCCGCGCTGGCGGTGGGCCGGGGCCTGGTGGCGGGCCTGCCCTGGCCCCACATCCACATCCACGACTCCGAGAAGGGGCTGCTGGAGACCATCTGGCTCCTCCTCTCCTCCGTCATCACCGTCCCCCTCATCTGCAAGCTCCCCGGCGGTTCCGCAGTCCTGGGCTTCCTTGCCGGCGGGGCTATCATCGGGCCCTACGCCCTCGGCATCATCCAGGTGGGTGGACTTTGTTGTAGAGGGAGGGTCCAGGAAGTGCCCGCAAAGGGTATGCCTCCCCAGCAGCGACAGCCCA